GCCAGGGGCTGCGACGGCCCCTAGATCAGAGGCGTGCAAGGGCGGCGGGGCGCGGCCCCCTGGCTGCTGGAGACGGCCGCTCCCCGTCCCTGCACGGGGCCTCCATTCAGGGACGCTAGCGCGGGGAGCTCCTAAGGGCCCCCACATCCCGTCCCCGTTTTGCCGTTGGCGCGGGCCCCACACGTAGGGGGGGGTCTCCTTACAGGTCACACAAGGGGTCCCTGGTAGCCTCCACATCCAGGTCACTGCTACCGACCCCTGCTTGAGGACCCCAAGAACATACACCAGCCCAGGACTGGTCCTCCCACCAGCTCTGACTCACATCCCCTGAGGGCCCAGCAGACACTGCCTGCCTCGCTTAGCCAACCCCAGGCCTCCCTAGCGCTATGCTCTCCTGTTGTTCAGAACCCCCCCTGAGGAGCTGCACCCGCCTCCATCTCCTCTTAGAGCTCCTTTTCCTCTCGCAGTTCTGGGGCTCTGTCTAGGGCCTGCTGACCTCATGGGCCCCTGAGCTCTTCCCCTTAACATCCCCTCCACGCTTGGAGCACTGACTCCTGAACCCAGCCATGTGTCCATAAGCTGGAAAGCCTCTGGATCCAAACCACAACCAAATTCCTGCCCCTGCTCATCACCCGGGTAGCAGAGATATGCGGCAAGCCATCCTTCTTCCTCTCCTCCCAGGACCTGCATGCCATGCTTTTCTTCTCTCTAGCCACAGTAAATTCCTAGTCCCTATCCTGATCCCTCTAACCCATCCCCACAAGGTAGGGGATGCTCTTAAAATAAAGATAGGGGGGCAGCTGGACTCCCACATGGCTGACTGCACATCCAGTCCCAGACCTGGCAGCTTGCTTTCTCACTTTCCTTCTCTTTCTTTGACTCTCTCTGTCTCAACTTCAAAGAAATAAAAAATAATGATACTGAATAAAATTAAATAAAAAATAATTCTTAAAAAAATAAAGATAGGAATGACTTCCTACCTCCTCTGCCTTTCATCCTCCTCCCTGTAGACCTGAGATGTGGATCCTTGAGATTTCACTAGTGCTGTCCTCATTGTACCCTCTGCTGGGAACACCTCCCTGAGTGTGAATGAGCACATATATATATTTGGATCAGTAAAGTCTGACCCTTTGCCTCCTGGATCAGTTCCTGCAGTGTCCCTGCCCGGGCAGGACAGCTATAGACACTTGGGTGGTTCAATGGCAGCCAGTGCATACCCTTTCAACAGCTGCCTAAGAAACCTGCTGGCTCCCAGACCTTTGGCTTTGCTGTTGCACACCCAGTTACTGCTGCCTAATCAGCTGAAAGCCCACTGTACTGAATCAGATGTTCTGAGTCAATGCTCCTCAGGCCCACTCTGCAGGGTACATTTATTTGTGCCTCAGTTTCATGTTTATTCTTCAGAGAGGTCAAGAGGATTCCCAGGTTACTTGACAGAAACTGGTATGGTGGGGATGTGAACCCAGTTGTGCTGGTCCTGAAGCCTGCTGACTCTGTCCTCTCAGCAGCTGTGAAATCTAGGGTGGTAGTGGGGCTGGAACAGGGGCCGGGTAAGTGGGTGGTGGTCAGAGGGGAGCCTGAAGTCAGCCTGGGGAGGGCCTAAGGATGAGGTTCTCTTTCATGAATCATACTTTTACCCAGTCATGTGTCCACAGCAGCAGTTGGACAGATGTATCCCCAGGCATCTTCCCCTGTAGGCCACCCCTTCCTTCCAGAGCTGGCAAATAGCTGGTGCAGTAAAAGAATTCAGAGCACCCTCTGGTGGCCCAAGGTGTATACAAGCTTGGAACCCAGACTAGTGGGGCTTAGTGGAGTTAGGAACTTGGGGCTTCTCCTACCCCTACCCATCCCACACTCTCAAATCTGCACCACAATAGCCAAGCTGGGGCCCCATTTCTGTGTGTATTTCTGTCTCAGACTCTCCCTCCTTCTTTGTTTCTGTCCACCTCTGGTCCTCCGTCTCTCCTTGTCTCTGCTCATCTCTCTGCACATCTCGGTTTTAGCCTCTATCAGTCACAGCCCAGTTTCTCTTCCTCTCTGTCCCCAAAAAGGGACCAATGGCAGGTAAGTGAGCTAAAAAGCAAAAAGGAAAAAAGCAGAACTCTAGGGTGGGATCAGTAGATGGTGAAGTGGTTACTTACGTTGCTGGACTCCCATGTAGTCGACCTTGGTTTGAGTCCTGGACTCAGCGGCTTAAAAGTCACTCTGGGCACATGTATGAGTGTGCCCAAAATTCCAAGAGAATGGAGAAGGGACTGTTCTGTGGCCATCCCCCACTGGGGGGTGATTCCTTGCTTTCTGTCCTGTCCCTCTGTCTCTCCAGTGAGCATGTGTGTCCTATAGTAAAAATCTCTCTTAAGGGGGAAAAAAAAAAGGAACTCTCAGGTCAAAGGATCTTGAGACTTATAAGGACAGAGACTGGGACATTAAGTCCAGCCAGGGCAACCTGTAGGCAGTCCTTGTCCCCAGCTCTGAGCTGGCATGTGGGGCCCGCTGACCAGGTAGGAGCAGCGAGGGAACAGGACAGTTTCAGGTTGTGGTTCTCAGTCCCAGGAGGTGAATGGCTTCCAGGAAAGGGGGTAGGAGGAGGAAGTCCCAAAGACAAGCATGGGAGTCACGTTTTGGTGCCACAACAAGGGTCCAGCCCTGATGGCCTGCCTCTCTAGCCCCTCACACCTCCACCACCACCCTCTTCTCACGCTCAGGGAAGAGCCTAGGCCAGGTGCCTGGCAGCATCCAGAACACTTTTATTGCCAAATAGAGGTACAGCCTGCTCAGAGCCCCAGGCAGGGCTCTCCACTCAGAAACAACGGGAGACTGATGTTGGGTTTGTCCAGGACAGAAGATGGCACTCCACAGACACCTTGAAGGAGAGCAGCACAGTCCAGCCTGATTGTGGCTTGGGGACCCCAACCTAGAGGCTGGAGCTAAGTCTCAGCCTATAGCCAGTTGCCCTTTTGGAGCCCGTTGCCACCAAAGCAGATCCAGATTCTCCATCCCTGGTAGACCCAGGCAGCATCCCTGAGGCACGGAGAAAATCCCTCGAAGGGCCTCAAGGCACCTAGCTCTCTCAGGAGCCCACTCACTTCTGGGCTAGTCCCTGCAGACTAAATAGCACTTAGCTGCTTGGTGGGAGGAGGTGCTGGGAAGAGTGAGGCGCTCCACTGCCTCTAAGTCCTGTGCCAGCCTCATTGAATGATGGAGACCCTAGGATGTGGGGTTAGCAACAGGGCAGCCTGAACAGCTGTGACTGCTTCCTGGAGCTTCCTTTCTTCATGGTACCTGGAGGCCCAAAGCATTGGGCCCAGCTCTTCTCCTCAAACCGCAGACCCAAGGTGAAGTGAGCCAGCTTCAACGCTGAGGCTAACAGCTCAACCGAGGGGCTGAGGGCTTCCTGAGGAATGGCGCATAGGACAGGAGGACCATCTGCTGGCCAGTCAGAGCCAGGCTGCCCTGGGAGGTGGGGGAGGTAGGAGTGGAGTGAATGCCCCTAGGGCCTAGGAATCCTGGAGAACACAACAAACTGCCCCTGCCTGCAGGGAATACCATGCTGCCCCCCAGGAAGCTAGGTCAGGCTGTCTACCAGCAGGGCCACAGGGAAGCTGGCAGATGGACAGGAGGACCATCTGCTGGCCAGTCAGAGCCAGGCTGCCCTGGGAGGTGGGGGAGGTAGGAGTGGAGTGAATGCCCCTAGGGCCTAGGAATCCTGGAGAACACAACAAACTGCCCCTGCCTGCAGGGAATACCATGCTGCCCCCCAGGAAGCTAGGTCAGGCTGTCTACCAGCAGGGCCACAGGGAAGCTGGCAGATCCCGCCACTCACGGCCAGTGGCAGGGGGACCTTGGCCCGTGTGGGGGGGGGCACCCCCG